AAACATGACTCATATATATGCTATCTAGAAGAGATTCACTTCAGAACAAGATACACACAGATTGAAAGTGAAAGGATGGAAAAAAATTCCATACAAATGGAAATGAAAAAAATAACTGGGATAACGATACTTATATAAGACAAAATAGACTTCAAAACAAAAGCCGTAAGAAGAGACAAAGAAGGACATTACATAATACTAAAGGGATCCATCCAAGAAGAGTTTATAACCCATGTAAACATATATGCACCCAACATAGGAGCACCTAAATATATAAAGAAAATCTTGGTGGACACTAAGAGAGAGATCAACAGTCATACAGTCATAATAGGAGATTTTAACACCCATTGACATCAATGGATAGATCTTCCAGACAAAAAAATCAACAAGGCAACAGTGACCTTAAATGACACAGTGGACCAGATGAGTTTAATTGATATTTACAGAATATTTTATCCCAAAGCAGCAGACTATATTCTTTTCAAGTGCACATGGAACATTCTCTAGGATAGATTACTGTTGGAAACCGTTTTGCTTGGTTGGTTTCAGGGACTGTAGCTTTGCTGACAGGCAAGAGGGCCCCAAGGCTGGAACTGAGCAAGGAGGCCTTGGGAAAATAGGCCATTGAGGAGACAAAACCTGTTCCCCTCGCAGGGGCTCAGCCCTTGCCTCCCTCACATCACCCTGCTTGGCCCCGGAGGATGGCTGGTTAGTCAATGTGCCTGTCTTAGGATGCCCTGATGGCAGGGGCATCCTAAGACAGGCACAGTCTCATAGAGGCCATCAGGGAAGGACTTGGGGGACAGGGAGAAAGGGCAGAAGACCCTCGCCCCTTGGCTTTGTCATGGCCAGAGTCCTCATTCTATCTGAAAGAAGTCTCCTTTTCTCTTGGCTACTCTGCTCCACCTGCCTGACTGGGCCAGTGAAACAATACTAAAGGCAGGTACAGCCCTAAACTGGATCAGGTGATTCCCGGGGGAAATTAGGCACAGAAAAGTAATGATTGCATTAAATCCTATGAAACTTACTTTGCTAAGAATACCCTTGAGTTAACGAGTACTGATGTTCGGGTCGAGCATAGAATGTGATCAGTTTCCCAGATTTCAGGGCTGAATGGGAGCTACCCTGTCTACCAGACCCTGACCTGAGGCAAATCTCCTGTGTTCCTTCAAGTGTTATCTATGATCTCTATCTGTTTTCTATAGCTTTTTGACATTGATGGATGAGTTTTGTATTCATGCTGTATACCCCTGCACAAATCGTTCTCAATAAAGCCACTTGAAGAGAAGGGATCAGGGCATTCTCCACTAGAGGGAGTCACCACCCCTTTTTCCTGACAGATCAAGAAGGGCCTGGAACGACTTATTTTATTTTTCTCCATCCGCGCTGACCTGGGGGGACTCTGTGAGGGATGTGGTACCCCCCTCATCTGATGCCTAACATGGGGCACCCATCAGATTACATGTTAGGACAAAACATTTTTAAATTCTCTTTCACTGCTCTGGCCTTTTGGACCTCTGTTGGCCCATGGGAAATGGCCTGTGTTCGCTGGGAAGATGGGCATATTTTTTGTGTCAGGGGACCAACTCTTTGGGGGGAATGTGGTAAGTGATGGAGTTCCAAATCTGTGAAATCCCAGTGCTGTCCCCTGAAGCCAGACACTGCCAGCAGTGCAGCTGTGATGTGTATGGGTGGGGTGAACTATGAGAAGCTGACCCCTGCCTTTGTTGCTTTGCTCTCCCGGTAATGGTGACTGACAGACCTCTGTGGCCTCCCCTCTGTGTCTCCACCCAACCTTGGATTTAATCACAGATTGTGCCTGCTGCTCAGGGAAAAACCATTTCTGTAGTACCAGTTTTTGGGTTAGCAGATAATGTGCTCTGCAATCCAACACATACTGCTACAGCTTCTTCTGGTGCCTGCTGCTAGCTCTGGGAGGTTGAGGGGAAGAAGCCATGCTCCGTGGCTTTGTTTCTCTGTCTGGAAGCCAATAACCAGACAACTGTGGCCACACCCTTGTGCTTCATCCCTGTCCAGGTCTCTGGATTCACTGCAGCTAGCACTGACGACTCCTGCAGGAATGCCTACTGTATCTCTTTGCTCCTCTTGGCTGAAGGGAGTTCCAGCAGCAACCTGATTCCTCCCCTCTCCTGGAGAAGACCTTCAGTGAGCTCCAAGCTGTGAGCTCTGAGTTGCATCTATGGCACCCTCTCAACTCTTTTCCTTCTCACCTCCCTAGTTTGCTCCCACTTGCCCACTTTCAGATATTTCAATGTGTGGCTCACTCAGATGTGTTTGTGCATTGGACAGGGAGTCCTTTGTTGAATAAAAGTTGTTCAAATTGTTGAAATGTCAAGAGGAGGTACCAAGGGACCTATCATGCTACCATTCCTCTGACATCATTCAAAAGATTGGTTATTTTCAATAGAAGCAATTAAGCCTTTACAATATTCTAGTATGTCTGCCTCACTTTACTAACTGCAGATTGAAAGAAGTGGGAACAAGTATCCAGTAATTTTCTTAAAAGGTGAGATTTTATGAGCTCCAAATGAGGATTTAAAAGGACCAGTGGCAATGCTTATGGGGGGGTCTCTATAAATTTTGCCAGTTGGACCTTAATAATGCCATAGTACATTTGACTAAACCTGAGGATTGAGGAAGGTTAGCACAATGAAAATGTTGTAAGATCAGCTACACAACAAAGACTTGGTGAAGTACTTTACCGGTCAAATGTGTTTCTCAATCATTATGGAGTTTGAGAAGGGGTTCCCCAGGAAGAGGTAATGTTTCCTAACTATATTAAGATTTTAGCTATAGCAGAGGCAGTAGCTTTCACAAGAGAAAGCTTCAGTTCACTAAGAAAGCATACAGATTATGACTAAAACATATTTTTATCTAAGAGATGGGGAAGCAATATAAAATCTATTGCAAAGGTGATGGTGAATTCTTTTTATTGTGCCATATCAGATGATTCAGGATTAGTTCATTTTACTCTTGATGATGCCCACTCTGATTACTTGATTAAGGAAGTATCTGCTAGTGTTCTCCACTGTGAAGCTACACTTTCCCCTTTGTAATTAATGGGTATTTTGATCAGTAGTATTTGGAACTGTGTAAATATCTTCACCTAGTTGCAATTTACCCATTTATTGACATATGGCTATATGTACTCATCTTTTCCTACTTTATTCAATATGCTATAATTTCTTACCATCATTAGTTATTTTGATGCTCAAATTATCCTTGATTTGGTCAGCGAAAGACCCTCAGTCTGGTTTTTATGTCCTTTTGACATGCTCCCCTCAATGTTTAGCATTTTCTTGCTTTCTAGCACAACAAGATGTTCCAGGCTCATCTTGTACTTTCTTGATCCTGGCCCTCAAATCAGCCACTTCTCTAAGGAGCCTGGGTCCCTTAAGTGGAATATGGTATTTAAAAGCCAAGATCTAGGCATGAAATGTACTCATTGCTTCAAAGTTTTTAAGCTCTATCAGTCAAGAGATGTACGGAGTATATATTTTTATACATAGCATACACAAATATCTATATGTATCTATCGTCTATCTCTATGTATTAATATTTATCTATCTATGCAGCTATCATCTATCTGTATGGAAAAGCATAAATTTATATAATATATTCAGTTCCAATCTCTGAATGCATATGGTTCATTCTGTTTTTCTCTTTTTCTGAATCAGTGACTCCCTTCTCCAACAGTGGGAAACCTGGTTTTCATTATCTTTAATATGTTTACTTCTTTGATCAGTCTCCTTTTATGTAGCCAATCTTCACTCCAACCCTTTCCATTAATGGATGTCCTTCTCATCCTACTTGGGATCTTCACACAGTCTTTAGGCTCTGGCTGCTTTTGCCAGGCTACTTGTCTGCATGGACACATTTCTCATTTGGGCTCCCACACTCATACCAGGCTGCCCCTTCAAGTGGATGCCGTCCCACCCTACTCAGTCTCCAAGTTGGAGCCACTGTGACTTCCCCCTCTGTCTCTGCAATATGTGCCTGCCAACCATGATGTGCCCCACCTATTGACTAGAACTGAATTATTCAGAAAGGGAATGGAAGGGAAGGAAAAGGAAGGGAAAGGAAGGGAAAGGGATGCAAAGGAAGGAAGTGGAAGGGAAAGAGAAAAGGAAGGGGAGATAGGGGAACTAAAGGGGAGGGGAGGGGCAGAGAAAGAAAAGGAAGAACACTGTGCACTTCTGAAACTGATGAATGCTTGTAGCCTTTCTGCCCAATCAACTGACTAATCAACTGTCTTTTATTCCATGTTTACTGTGTTAAGACAATTGGGAGCTGAGGATGAAATACAGAGACTATATGAAAAAATGTTTCCTGTCTTTCAGAATCATCAGGAGATGAGATGAAACATTAAATCAAAACTAATAATATAATAAGTGTCTCAACTGAGCGTTACAAAAAAATAAGTGTTCCAAAAAAGGTAGAATTAAATTATGAATGTACTTTCTAAACAATGGGAAAATTACAGTAGATTAACGCTCATCTATCTTAATATATCAAATTGGAGTTCTGAAAAAGGCCCCACCCAAACAGTGATTGTGATGGTCAAAAACATTGTCACTGGTTCCCACTGATTTGGTTATTTAGATTCTCCCTACTGTACAAGAAAGCATTAGAGAATACTATTGTGAAGAGGTATTTATTGAGTTACTATATAATACACAATATAGAATATTCAAAATAAAACATGATAAAAATGTCATTACTGCCATTTACTACAATTAATTCTTGGTTTCATTAAAGTTTGTTGATAAAATTGTAGATAAATTTGTATTCTTGATTAGTGCTAAGGAAGAGTAGATAATACTAAGTAGGGGTGGATGAAGATAGTATAATAAGAACCCAATAAACAGGGCCTCTACATATCACATTTATTTAGTCACCTCCATTATATTACACAATATATAATACTCTGTACAGACACTGGGAAAACTAACCGAATAAAAAATGTATTTAGTTATCCATCAAGTGCAGTAGGTTTAGCCCATCTTTATTTCTGGGTTTTATTCACAAAGTACATTGAGATCTCCAGTGTCAGGGACGCAGCTCCCTTGAAGAACAAGGTGTAAGTTCACAGGGAGAGTCATGCTCCCCTTACGGTCTTATTCCTCAACTCAGCCATTAGAACAATGGGATTTCCTGGTTGAATAATTCCTTGAGATTCTATTTTCAGAGGGATCTGCAAATGTTAAAAAAGTATATGAGAACCAGTTAATGAAGCGCTGTCAACAACAGAAGCAAAGTAGATGAGCTATATTGAGGACAATAATGCTTTATAAATATATGCAAATTTCTTTTAGCATAATATATCTTTGATTCTTTATTACTTATGGGGTAAGCTGTCTCCAGACTGGTCAGTGACAGCATTCACCAATATATTCATTCAAGAAAATATCAATACACCTACTTAGTACCAGGCCAGAGACAAAACCATGTTAGTTTATGTTTGTTTTTGGTTTGAATTTTAAGTAAAAGAATGAATTTTTAAAATTTAAACCAGATTCTTAGACATTATGGCAAGCTATTTGGAAAAACCATACAGTATAAATTTTGTGCATGCTGGAACTTGCAAGGTAATCTTGAATACATGTTATACAGTTTAATTATTTGAATCATCCTTGACTTCTAGAGTCAGTCACCTCTCCCAGTGGAATCCTCTCAATTTCATGATGGGAAAAGCTCTTTCTGAAGCATTGTGCCTGTTTTATAACATCTCCTAGCTTCCAAGTGTAGTATAAATGGTGAACTTCTGAAGACCTATATAGTGTTTTGACTAATTTTTTTATCTCCATTCTCACTCAGTCACTCCCTCAGTGTCGGGGGAGCCACCCACACGGTAACCTTCTGATATCAATTGACTGAAGGGCAAGAAAATTGTCATGAGGATGAGAAGCACCAGACTTCGATGACTGGGAGCTTGCAGGGAGTGTCCGTCCCACCCCCGGGTGTGCCACAGGCCCACTGTCCCTCAGGGCTGAGTCCCCCATTTGTACACACTCAAGGACAGCTACACAGCTGCCCAAAGCCACAAATAAGACTCATCCATTTCCATCCTCCTCCTCTTCTGTGATAGAGCCTATTTAAGGAAAGGAGCTACATAAGAAATGCACGAGTCCTAGAAATAAGCCCTATTAAGGGGCCCTGCTTGACATGAGCTAATGGCAGCTGTTCTGTATGTTCTTCAGAGGAGAGATTCCATATCTTTCTATTAACATAAAACATTTCTATTTTAAAATTTCTAATGGAAAGTATATATATCCCCTGTGTACAAACCAACACACATAGAAAATGCACACTGCAAATGTCATTTGTTAAATTTTTCAAATTAAATCATTTAAAATTTGTATCCAAGTCTCCAGCTCAACTGCAAAAAACCAACCAAACAACCAAACAAAAACCTCTTTAAGCATTTCCTGCATGACTGCAAGGCACCATGGGGAATTTATGTAAGGAATAAAATGAGGTGCTAGAGTTAAAGACATTCTTAGGTACAAAGAAAACACAGAGAACCAAACTGGATAGTTTGATGATAAAGGTTTAGGTTAGATGGTATGACAGATGATACCAGCCTGCAGCAGCGATAATAGAAGAGAGTAAAGAACAGACTCTGGGCTTGATAGGGAAGGCTCCTGGAGGGGCTTTGGGAGTGAACTAGGACTTGAAGGATGAGAACAGAATGGGGGGGCGAGCAGGAACATCACAGAGCTCTTATTAAGATGTAAACAATCCCAACTTGATTGCAGCAGGGCTCCCAGAAGCGGGGATCAAGTAGCTAAGTGGCCCTGGACTGTGGGAGTTCTTCACATCAGGCAGAAATGCTCTAACCAGTGATTCTCAACCTCCGCGGCACATGAGAACCAAAGGGGGTGCTCTGAAAGCCACACAGGATGAATTATTTTAGAATCTGGGATTGCCTAGGCATGGCCTCTTTCAAAGCTCCCTGCTGATTTCATTGTACAGCCAGGGTTTGAGAACCACTGTCACAAGAGCTTCTGTAACTTCTGGGGGAGAAGAGCAGCATTCAAAGGTCGTGACCCATTATTATCACTGCACTTCAGGGCTGTGCACTGTGCTTCCCCTTCCTTCCAGTGGACTTGAAACCACATTTAAAACTTTTCTCAAAGGACTCTGTGTCATCGCGTCACACTAACTGCATTCACTCTAGATGGCCTTTGCGGTTGGGTATTTATAAATCACAGACCTAGCACTCCAAACTAATGGGATCTTAAAGGCCACAGGCGACTCCAAACAGATTCTCTGGCTTAGAGTATAACTTATTAAATGATATTCATAGATAGATACATACATACATAATCTCAGTTTTTAAAAAAGAAATCTCAGTCAAGCATTATTTATGCAGAGTGGTAATGTGTTAAGCGTCTGACCTGTGTTTCTTTGCAAGTCTTGAAGGAGAAGTTCTGCAGAACTCTGATGACAGCAAGTTTCATGTTCATGAGAGCAAACCTCATGCCAATGCAGTTTCGGGGTCCATTTCCGAAGGGCATGTATATGTAAGGATTTATGCTGTCCTTGTTCATCTTACTGAACCTGGTTCCACAACAGTAGATGAAAACAATTATTGAAACATAAACACCACAAGGGCTACACACTTGTGGTCCTCACTTAGGTGCCTCAACCAGTAGCATACAGGCTACTTCTGTGGGTTCGTCAGGGAGATCCTGTTACGGTTATTTTGCTGTGAGAATTGTAAGCTACAGATCCTTTCCATTCCCCTTACCCTATAGGAGATTTCAGTCTCATTGAAGAGATGATCTGAATGCTGTTTAAAGGAAAATTTATCTTTAAACACTAAATTATATTCAGGGTGTTGAGAGGTTCACACTCCGAAAGGTAAAACAGAAATGAAGCTAATTGAAGGAAAAGTAGGTTCCTACCGCCGTCAAACTCACGTTGGTCACGGGCTCATGCAGGAAGGGAGCAGGAGTAATACTTCCCTTTAGCGAAGTTGCTATTTTTTCTTTCCCTCCCCTCGCCGCCCCCCCTTCTCTGACCTCTCCTCTTCTGCCCCTCTCTCTCCCATTGAATAACTTAAATCAGATGACTTACATGGGTATATGACGCTCCTCTACTCTAGTGTCATCACTGGTTTTCTTATATATCAGTTCCACTAGGCTATAAATTACTTGAGAGTTAGACCAATATTTTAATCAAATTTGATTCCTCAACGATTTGACTATATTAAGGAAAAAATGAGAATTTGGGAAAGCGATCATGGCATGACTGTTTTTATGTCTGTCTGTCTGTATGTATGTGTTTGCTTATTTATTTCAGTCTCCATAGAGACTGTCAAAAATTGCCAATGCCAACTATATTTCAAGTCACCATGCCAGTGTACTGGGAAATGTTTTCAGTTAGTAAAAATCTTGTCTCAGGTAAACCTCATTGGTTCCGATACTGCCACTGTGCAAAGCTGGTTATGTGCTTTTAAGAGATTCGTATATTTTGGAGAACACTGGAATATTTATAGACGGTGTACATTAAAATAATACGTGAGTCAGGATGATGGTAGAACCGGTGTTGGATAGTGCACCAGATGTAGGCTGATGGCTGTAGGGCAGGTGATGGGTACACATAGACGCATTAAAAGTATTCTGTGGACACAAGTAAACGTCGTATTTTTTCTATGTCAAATATACAAGTATTTGTATAAATGTCAACAATTTTCCATGACAGGCATTTTTTAACATTTGGATTTCTAACTGCCTTGCCCACTTCCGGAAACAGTGAGCACTTACTCTTTGCTGATGACTGAGTGATCAGAGAGAAGTACAATCAGTGATCTCTGGTTTCATGTTCATGAAGGTCCAGGGGAAAACTGCTGAGCTTAGAGGAACCACAGGGTCCCTGGTCCAGAAAACAGAGGATCTGGTCACCTCTGACTTCTTTCTACAAGTACTTTGTGTAGGCATTAGGCTAGAACTAAGAACACTGTGGCAAATGATACGAGGTCCCTGACACTAGGGACCTTATAATAAGGCTAATGAAAAGTCTAGACCCTGGCTAGGGCCCCCAGTAGTTCATCCCAATTTTGCTTATCGATACAACAAATGGGAAACATCAGCTCTTTCTAGAGTTCAAGCTGTGCCCAAAGCCAGAACGTGGCTCTGAATTTCCCGAAGAACAAACTAAAGACCACTCTAGGGGTAGTACCTTAGGCATAAAGAGAGCAGATGACTTCCCTTTGGGAGTCACCAAATACTGAGAGGAGGAGCAAGCTCATGCAGGACTGCAGCCAAAGACAGCACTGGGTACCGGTGTTCACCTCTGCCCTCAAACAGGCTGCTTAAGCCATCGGGGAGAAAAACCTCTCAGGTTGTCGGCCTGCGCTCTCCCCATAATGCTAAAGGAATAGCAGCCAGTGTGAAATAAACAGAATCTGGGAACACTGGTGGTAAATTCAGAGAGCTAAGGAAAACAGAAAACTTAAAGAAATAAAAAGAGCCTGTATCTATGAAATCAGATAATGGTTCAGTAGTTTATGGCATATGCATACCGTTACTATATATATAGTTATATACTATTTATACAAATATAGTGATGGTTATATATAATGGATATATATAGTCCAACATTAGTATAGTTCACTGTTAAAGCAGTTCAAAATAAAAAAATTCCTACTTTAGTTTTAAAAAATCTATATATGCTTAGAAAAATGTCAGTAATGACATATATCATATTATTAATGAAACCGATCTTAAGATATTAGGGCTATGGACAAATACAATTTTCTCTAGTCTCAGTTTGTAAAATTTTGACAACAATGATCACTCTTGTAATAAGAAAAACAAACTTCTAAAAATAAAAAGGTGTACATATAAACGATTGCATGACCGTATGTGTACGAACAGACATCAGAAAATCCCCCAGCCGCCTGGGTCAGGGGGGTTCCCTTCCCCGGGGGCGCAGTACCTTTCGGGACGGAACTCCTCAGGCTCTGCCCAGTGTGCTGGATCTCGGTGAAGAGTGAAGTTTGGCACCATCACCACTGTGCCTTTCGGAATGAGCACCCCATTGATTTCCACATCCTTCTTACAGACTCTCTCAATTCTACCAGCAACTGGGAATAATCTGAGAGATTCATTCAACACCATGTCAAGATACTCCATCTGGACCAAGGCCTCATATGTGGGAGGTGCCTGGAAAGAAAGAAATAGGTTTTGATACTCTGAGATTTGGGATCAAGTTTCAATTCTGTCTGTGCAGTTAGGAGTGTTAGGAGCACCAAAGAATACCTTATTTTGGAAACGGGTCTTCGGATTTATAGACGTTTGAATATCTGTAATGTCCTTGACTGACTAAATGGCCCACTGAGATGTGTGGAGTAGTTAGCGGATGGGTGACCTTTGGGATAATCCTCTGAACAGGACCTGGCATCCCTCACATCATGTGAGCAGATGTGACTAAGAGCCTGTGACTCTCACTCTTAACTGAAACATGCTGAAGTCACCGTATCCTTCAAAAGAGAGGCCAACCTTCTGTACCAAGGAAAGAGAATGTGTAAAAGAGCAAAATCCCTATCTGACATAAAGTTTGTTAGTGGAAAAATTCTGCTTGCACGGGCATGGACAAAAGGGGGGTATTGACTGTGGGAGTGGGAGTGGGCATTGGGCAGGGGGGAGCAATGGGGACAAAGGTGGAACGACTATAACTGAACAGTAATAAAAAAGAAATAAAGTTAAAAATTCTGCTTCCTAACTCTTTATATATACACAATTTGGAGAGAAACATTATATTGTAGAGAAAGTATAAATAATTTGGAGAGAAACAAGTTCCTTTCTAAACCAAATATGGCAAGAGAAGGGTAGGACTGGATGCTCGCTCCCAGAGCACACGATTTCATTCTAGTGAAAGTTAGAAAGAGGCCGAACCCCACTGAGCTCCACGCTGCCTTATTGGAACTGTCTGCTAGTTGTTGCTTCAGGCATTGACTGGAAGCTGTGGCGATCTCAAGCAAGACTCTCCAGGCGCAGAGGCCAGTCTCTACACCACAAGAATTCCAGTTTTGTCAGATATCTGAAAACAGTGTGGGCAATATCTGGTATCACTTGGTGTTATGTTGAAGGGGCAATGTTGTAGAGGTGAAACGTGTGGCTGGTGGCTTCTTTACCGCTCACTACACGACTAGTGTATGAAAGCTATTTCACCTTTCCCTTGCTCCGTTTTCTGATATGTTACATGGAAATGATTAGAGTTGACACTTCATTGGATTGAGTGGCAGAGATATTTACTGCTGGCCCAATACCCGTGTAGTCTCCACATCGCGCAGCCCTTTTGAAGTTAGGGAAAACCAGCTTTGGGAATGGGCTGTGAACTGAGGTGACAAATGTAACTTCAGGGCCAAAACATACCAATGTCTAGTGAGCAACACTCTAGTTCTTTTTTCCGCAACAACATGAAGGCTTTGTGTTCCAGAGAGTGAAGCTTTAAGAGTGCGGAGCCTTTTTAGCTTACTTTTCCTAGTAACTACGTGGAGCAGAGATTCCCACTCCCATCCTCCTCTAACAATCCATGTTTGAACATAATGTCATTTGGAACTAATCCTTTGCTATGTAAAGCCACCAAGAACTGGGTGCTAATCTGTAGCTATGGCATGACTTACTTTGTCCTAATACATAATTTTAAAAATTGAATTTACTGTGTGATGTTGCTTAATAAAATTATGTAGGTTTCTGGTGTACAATTTATATCATCTGTATATTGTACTGTGTGTTGACCACTGCAGGTCCAGTCTCCTTCCATCACCATTTACCCCCCCATAATACTTTCTTCAACCCCCCGCCCCCTTACCTCCTGGTAATCACCATGCTGTTATCTCTGTGTGTCTGTGTGTGTGTGTGTATGTGTGTGTGTGTGTGTTTGCTTAATTGTTTTGCCTTTTTCACTCAGTCCCCCGACTCCCCGCCCCTCTGACAGCTACCAGTCTGTTCTCTGTGAGTCTGTTTCTATTTTTAATACATAATATTTTTAATGATTAATTTATAACTGAATTTATAAAGGCATTTAGAGCAGACATATATAGTAAGAAGTATATTCCTACAGTGTTCTTGTTGTTGTCATTGTAATTATTAATATAAGAAAGGGAGAACATAATGCTTTAGCTAGTCTCTGTTGCTTAGTGACCTTCTCATCTTATTGCAATAAAATGAATCCCAGTATAGGCTTACCCAGAGAAAAAAGACAATCTCCTCTAGTTGGAGTCTAAAATATACCTTTTACCTTGGATCTGAAGGGCCTATTACACGGAAGGGTCTTAAGACCTGCCCAAAACCACACTCTGGACTCAAACTTATGTCTTCTATTTCCTACCCTATGTTCTTTCCTGTATACCAGGCTTCTCCTAGGCTGCAAAATTTGCCCAGAGAGGGAGATTGCAATAATGGTGCCCGTTATCCACTCATCCTGTATCCATGACCTTAGTCATCTAATTTTGGCCTCTTACATTATGATGCTGGGATTGGCCATGGGGCATGCTTTCCACCGACAGAATGTGGCTAATTGTGATGCAAACAGAGTTTTGAAAGGCACCCGTATGATTGGGCTTCTTGCTCTCTCTCTCTCTGCCATCGGCTGAGAAGAACACACCCATGCTAGCTGTTTGGAGTATGGGAGGCATGTGGAGAATGTGTGGCGCTGAATCAGTCCAATCAGCTTAGCTATGGCCATTCTAGGTCAGCCGAGAGCCAGACCAGAGCAAGTCCAGCCAATATCAACAGAGATAACTATCGAGACACTTGAGAAATAAATGTTTAATGCTAATCGCCGCTGTAGTTTTCAGATTTTCACTTGGCATTATTGTGATAACAGATAACTCATACACCAAGATCAACACTTTTTTCAAGAGTCTTACGTATTTGTGAATAGCACACATTACCTGTATTTCTTTTTTCTCTGTACATCCTTCCTAAATAGCACAGGTAAAAGAACTGATGCTTATGCTCTTTGCAAAAATTCTCCTGGGAAGTGGTGAGGAGGCATTCTTGCTAAGGTTTCGCTTTCTCCCCCGCTCTCCAGGTATCACCCACTCACCTTATTGGGAAACGTGGCATCAATCTCCTCCTGCAGTTTCTGCTGCACATCGGGGTGAGTGGCCAATAAATACATAAGGAAGGAAAGAGAAGTGCTAGTGGTCTCATAGCCAGCAAAAATAAAGATAACAGATTGGGCCACAAGCTCCAGATCAGACAGAGCTAAAAGGAGAAAAAAATGTTATAAAGAAAGTCAATGTACAACATCACAGTTTAAATGATGAGAAGTCTCAATAAAACTCCCAACCCCCTAATGGAAAAATTGGAAAAGCAATTCAGTTTAGATTGGGAGTGTTTTGCACTCTGATGTGTATGTTACAGAGCCTTTTTGTAAAGGCAAAAGTTGTCTTAATTTAGTTTTTCACAATGTCTCCACTATTCTTGACAGTCTGCATCTGGCTATGCACCCTCTCTACAACATTGCTGTGCCATTTTGCGATATAGCATTTTTGTGTAACATGCAGTTTTTTCAGCATGTCCATTGCAGAATCCTAAAAGCAGTTTAGCTACAAGTAATTTGGGATGGGATTCTAACCCCGGGAAAAGTTTAAATTGTTGTAGATAAAATATACCTCGAAAAATTTTGAGGGACGTTGCCCTAAGGATTATGCAGGGAAAAATTAGAGGATCTTTCATCCCAAGCATGTTTGCAGAAACTTAAGAAGACAATATTGGGCTACACATAAAACATGGTTACTCTAAGTATCACCATATCTTCTCACCTCTATGAGGAATCTCATTAATAAAACAGGCTAATGAACAAAATAGAACCACAGGCATGGAAACATGGAACAGACTGAAAATTACCAGAGGGGACGGAGAGGAGGATTATGGTGGACAGAAGGGGAAGGGACTAGACAAAGGACATGTACGAATGACCCACGGTCATGGACAACAGAGTGGGAACTGACTGTGGGAGTGGGGGATGAGATGGATGGAGGAGGGCAAAAGGGGAAAAATCGGACAACTGTAATAGAATACCAAGAAAAAAGGTTTAATGAAAAAATTTTTAAAAATACACTCGGAAGGTAATTAAAAGAAGAAAAAGAGAGAAACCTAGAATTTTCTCCTTCCAGAAAGTAAGGAAGTGTCCACAAAGTAAGATAGGTAAAAATGATACAGGACACTCTGTACTATAATGGTGGGTATATATCATTATTCATTTGTTAGAACCCTAGAATGTACAACACCAAGAGTGAACCCAGATGTAAACTATGGACTTTGTGTGATAATCATGTGTTAATGCAGGTTCACTGATTGTAACAAAGGAGCCACACCTGTGAGGGATTTTGGCAGTCCGGTAAGCTGTGCATAGGTAGGGGGTCTATTGAAAATCTCTGTACCTTCCATTCAGTTTTGCTATAAACCTAGAACTGCCCTAAAACTAAAGCCTATTAGAAAAATAAAATTTTAAAAAGAAAAAAGAAAGCCAGAGCCTACTTAAAAGAAGGACTCCAGTGGACAAACCGAGAAAATTTGACCATCAAAAAAGAAAAAGAATGATTTAAGAGAGTCAATTGATAATATATGAGTTCATATTGATATATATATAAACAAATAAGTCTATGAGGGAGAATGGGATGCTCTTCCTTACAATGAAACATAAATTCATAAATGTAGAAGAAATGATGGATTAGAAAGTCATCAGTTTTGCAAGCAGCATAGTAATAATGATTTCAGACAAAATCCAATAATGGATGATAAAACTAGTAGGTGGAAGTTTGAAGAGGAACAGAATATCTACTTAATCTTAAAGGCTCCCTGAAAAGTTACTTATTAATAAGGAAAAAAAACCTTTACAATTAAGCCAGTGAATACAATTTCAAAGGAGTGTTCCAAGTTAAGGGTACTGACACCGGAGCAATATGCCGCCTAATGTGATGAAGTCTTAATGCAAATCTCCAGGCAGAGATTCTGAGCCAAGCAGCTGGGGGAGGCCAGAGAGGACACAGTGGAAACAAGCTCCCTGGAGGTTCCGATGTTAGCAATCCGCAGACAACAGACTGCCTTCTAGGTAAAAAGAAATCTTGTTTATGGTGCCCTTCAAGCTTTGAATAAAGTTATGCTCACATGTTTCTAGAAAGTGCCTCTGGCTACCATTTCTATCTGAGCATCTCTCATTTTTCATGTTGGCAGAAATTCTTATCTACATAGAAAACTTTATGCACATTTTTAGAACCGGTGCCTTCCTCTGAGCCTTCCCATCACTGACCCTCTGAAGTGTGCCTTCTTTACCTTTATGGGAGTCCGTTTCTTTGGAATTCTGGGAATTAATCATCAGCTGAAGAAAATCCACTCGGTGCTGGAAGTCGAAGGAGAAATTTCAATGTTAGGAATAAATCAAGAGTCTAGTACTTAATTCCTTTCCTGATAACATGGCTCTTTCAGATCCAGAAGTGTGACTAGTGCAGCTTGAGTCATCAGTGAACACAACCTGGAGAGCAGGATGTTTCCCTGAGAGAAATCCAGCCATTAGATCCAACCGGTTCTTGGTCCTCGCTGTTTCTGATCTTTGGCTTCTCTCACTTCTGAACATAACTTTCTGGTCAAAAAGTTGCCTGCTTCCTCTCTTGTCACACCTGCTTGCTCACGAAAAAGTCCCTGACCTCATTATTTTTTCTGTAGCCTTAATTTTTAATGAATGGCCACACAGATTAATCTCCCAACGCTTGAAGAATTTATCGGCACTTTTTCTGTCATCATTTTCAAACGTCCCACCATCCCAGACCTCTCCACAATGTTCAGCGCAAACCTGGGGTACCTAACCCTATCACCGTGACTTGCAGACATTCTTGTACTGGCCTCCAGGTCTGAGAAGGTAAAGCTGGGTTGGCCAGCTTGTACCCTCAAGTCCCAGAGAAGACTCCTGCCCTCTCGGTCTCTGAGCAGGCTCAAATTTAACATAGAGTGCACTCTCTCAGGTGCGTCATGGGGCCCTCCATTGCAGAGTGTGTAAAGTAAGAGGCTTGGAAGGGATGTGATTATGATTTTTTCACAGTAATTTTTATACTCTGACATTTTATTGAAGGGAACTGGTAAACTTTTTATCTCAATAATATTCATGCAGTGATATACCTAGCTTTGTGTTTATTCTTACATTTTAAACAATGTCTTTCTGACTCATTTTTAAATTTTCGTTCTTAACCTCCACCTTCTTCGTTGCCTACAGAATGTTATAACTTTCCTCCTATTAACAAAGAGTCTCTATCTACCTAAAATAAGAGAAGTACACAAATCATATGCATACAGTTTGATAATTTGGCAAAAAGTAAACAAACTCATGTAACCACCGCCAGATTTTACCTTTTGTTTATCTTGGAGGCGACTTTCTTTCATCCTTTTGACAGATTTTATGAAAAAATCAGTAACGCTTTTTGGAAATAGAAAAATATTTAATGATTCAAAAATTGGGCCAAAGAATGGAAAGAGTGCTGTAAGAAAAAAAAGAAGGCACAGTGACAATACAAAATGCACCTGGAGCAATCATAATTTTCTCTGCCAATCAGAAGTGTAAGAGACACCAGGCTTCTCAACAAGGAGCCATTCTCTCTATGACATTTGCTCAGACTTCCAAGCCTATGACTGAGCAAGGAGAAGTCCACATATAAGGGCCACCACTGTAGCAGAGAGATCAGTGGCCCCTTCCTCATCTTTTGGATGACCAAAAAATCCAGGATTGCATTCCTGAATGGCTTTGTTTTTTATCTATTAAACTACACTGTCTTTGAATAAACCACTTTGAAGAAAATACTTAGAAATAAATTTAACAAAAGAAGTACAAAACTTTTAGTCAGGAAACTACAAAACATTATTGAAATAAATTAAAGTAGGTCTAAGTAAATGGGAAAACAGCCATGCTCATGGATCATAAAACTTCATATTGTTAAGATGGCAATACTCCCCAAGTTGATCTATGGATTTAATGCATTTTCTACCAGACTCCTAGCTTGGTTTTGTATAGAAATTGACAAGCTAAATTTAAAATTCTTTTTAATTTTAAAATTTAGCCAAACCTGAAAAAAACAATAAACTTACAGAACTCACAATTCTCAATTCAAAACTTTACTACAAAGCTATAATAACTAGGGCGATGTTGTGCTGGCATAGGGATAGACATATCGATCAATAGAATACAATTTAAGAGTCCAAAATAAACGCATGTTTCTAAGGTCAACTAAATTTTTTAAAACTTAATTTTTTCATTGCAGTTGAGATACTATATTACATTAGTTTTAGGTGATCAATATAGTGATTAGACATTTATATGTGTATATCTTATGAATGATCGCCCTGAAAAGTCTACTCCCCATCTGACACTATACATATTTATGATATTGTTGACTGTATTTTCTATACAGTACTGTACCTCCCTATGACTTTTTTTATAACTGGCAATTTTTACTTCTTAATTTATTTTACTTATACTCATCAAACCCCTTCCCATTGGCAACCATCAGTTTGTTTTTTGCATCTATGAGTTTGTTTCTGTTTTGTTTGTTTTTTTCAGATTCTGCATAGAAATGGAATCATATGGTATTTTGTCTTTCTCTGTCTGATTTATTTTACTTGGAATAACACCTTCTAGGCTCATTCATGTTGTCACAAATGTCAAGATTTCAGTTTTTGTGGCAGACCAACATTCCATTGTATATAGGTACCACAACTTTTTCACTCATTTGTCTATTGATGGACACTTATGTTACTTTTGTATCTTGGCTATTGTAAATAATATTGCAATGAACAGTAGGGGTGCAAAATCTTTTTTAAATTTTAGTAAAATTTAATTTCACCCCCTGGCACTTAAATCTCTTACAAGTAAGTGATGCTTCTTGCTCACTAGACCCAATGTCATCAGAGTTATTAAGCAGTGTGATAGCTCATGGAAGGGAAGGGCAATCAAATTATGGCAAAGGCCTGGAAAATTGGTTAAGTCTGTGCAGTAGGAAAGCCTTCAGATGAAAGTGAACTGTTCTGGGTGGGCCCTTTTGGCAGGGATGAAGAAAATAGCATTCACCAAATTAATAACTGCATACCAGGTTCTAGGGAATATGTTAAATTATTCGAACAACAAAACCATATCTGATCAAGCAGCCACAATTGGAGTCACCACATAGTAAAGCTTAAATAATCCATTCTCACTCTCCAAAATTCATCTTCCTTTTGCACAGGCCAAATAGATAAGTTGAATGGGGATGTGGTGAGATTCACTACCCCTTCATTTTCATGTCTAGGATGGTGGCACTAATCCCTCCAGAAATGCTGTCTTGTATTGTGTTTGTTATATTTCTGATGGTAGTGACAGTTCCGGTGGCTTCCACTTGCCCTTTTCCATGGTAATAGTCCTCACTCCATAGGTCAGGGTACAAGTTTGGGGATTCTGCCAACTGCTGAGTGTATCTATTCCAATTATTCATTCCAGAACTGGGGGAATTACCACAAAATGCATGTATCTCTTTGAATTAGTGTTTTGGATTTCTTCAGAGAAATACCTGGAACTAGGATTATTGGGTCATATGGTAGTTCCAATTTTTATTTTTTTGAGGACCCTTCATACTGTTTTCCATAGTGGCTACGTTAATCTACAATCCCACCAACAGGGCATGAGGGTTCCTTTTCCTCTACATCCTCACCAGCAGTTGCTGTTTGTTGATTTCTTGATGATAGCCATTTTGACAGGTATGAGGTAATATCACATTGTGGTTTTAATAACCTTTTTCCCAATGATTAGTGATGCTGAGCATTTTTCTTATGTCCATTGGCCATATGTGTGTCTCTCTGGAGAAATGTCTATTCAGGTTAAGATCAGCTGAATTTTGAGAAAGGTTCTAAGTCCAGTCAATGGGGAAAAATAGGCTTTCTAATAAAAGGTTCTGGGACAACTGGATACCCATATGCAAAAGAATGAAGTTGGACTCTTACATTATACTATATACAAAAATAAAATAAAAAATGGGTCAAAAAATTGAACATAAAAGCTAAAACTCTGTATTCTTAGAAGGAAATCTAAGGGAAACTATTTGACATAGTTGGCAATGAATCTTAGACATGATACCACAAACACAAGCAACAAAAGAAAAAAATGCATAAATTGTAGAACATCAAAATAAAAAATTTTGTGCTTTCAAGGACTCTGTCATGAAAAATAAAAGATGTCTAGAGAATGGGAGAAAAGTTCTCAACTCATATATCTGATAAGGAATATATAAAGAATTCTTACAAGTCAACAACAGAAAGACAACCGACCCAATTATAAGTGAGCAAAGGATTTGAATAGGAATTTATCTAAAGAAGATACAGAGATGGCCAACAAACATATAAAAAGTTGCTCCACATCATTAGTCATTAGGGAAATGCAAATCAAAACCACAATGAGATACCATGTCATACCACTAGAATGTCTGTAAGCAAAAAGATAGAAAAAGGTCATTCAAGTGTTGGTGAGGGTATGGAGAAACTGGAACCTTCATACATTGCTGGTGGGAATATAAAATGGTGCAGCTAGCATAGAATAAAGTTTAGCCGTTCCTTAATAGGATAAACACAGATTAACATAGGATTTAGCAATTCCACCCTAGTGTAGAAAAATGGAAAGTAAAAGAAGCCCAAAAGACTTGAAACAGGTAGGTAATATAAAAAACTTTGGGCAGGATGTTTATAGCAGCAGTATTCACAATAGCCAAAAGGTGGAAACAACCCAAATGTCTCTCAATTGATGAATGAATAAACATAATGCAGAATGTTTATACTATGGAATATTATTTTACCTTAATAAAATATAAAGTACTGACACATGCTACAACATGGATGAAACTTGAAAATATGCTGAATTTTATAAAGCCAGACACAACAACCCACATATGTGATTCTCTTTATACAAAGTATCCAGCATAGGCAAATCGATAGAGACAGAAAGTTGATTAGAGATTTTTTTAGGTTAATGGGATTGAGATGTTAAAGTCAAAAAGTATCATATATCTAAGTTGACAAAAATGTTCTAATAATTAATATGATGGCTGCACATAACTAAATTTACTTAAAAACATTCTTTTTCAGTTTCATTGAGTTATAATTGACATGCAGTACTGTATAGGTTTAAGGTGGCCTGATATACCTATGTTGCAGAAAACTTAGCATAGTAAGTTCAGTTAACAAAAATCACCTCATATAGTTAAAAATATTGTTTTTCTTTCCATGTGATGAAAACTTTAAGAATCTGCACTCTTGTTTATCGTATAACTGAAAGTTTGTAACTTTTAACCACCTTTATCTAATTCCCCCACCCTCAACCTCTGCCTCTGATAATCACAGATCATTTCTTGTATTTCTATAAGTATTTTTTTTTAGGTTCCACATATAAATGAGAGCATACACTATTTGTCTCTCTGTGTCTGACTTATTTCACTTAGCATAATGCCCTAAAGGTCCATCCATGTTGTCACAAATGGCAGGATTTCCTTCCTTTTTATGGCTAGTGTCCTATCATATCTATCTATACCACATTTTTTATTCATTTATGTTGACATATACTAGGTTGTAAAATTGATAGAAGTGTATATTTTTAAATGGATAAATTATATAAAATATGAATTATATCCCCAAAAACGCTTTTATAGATAGTGGTGGGGAGAGAGGAAGAGAAAGAGAGAAGAGGACAGGAGAGGTGGAAGATAAAGAAATATAATAGTTTACATACTCATGCAGAGGATGAATGGATCGAAGAATGTAAATCTTAAGAGCTTTTTTGTTTTCTCCACAAAGGGATCTTGTGGGTTGTTGAGGGAATCCACGTTCACTCCAAATGATGTGCTAGTAATCACATCCATGCTGTAGGCCCCAAAGATGCTGAGTAGAAAAAAAAAGACTTAAATCAGCGACTCTTTACTATCCTTATCCAACACATACAAGTAGGGCATGTAAATTCACATACTCAGGAAAGACAGGTAAAGAGCCACACAACTGTCAAAACCATCAGCTGGATCATCTGAAAATCTATGCCCCTGTCACACAATCATAAGATGTTCATCAGGTGCCAGTGATGCAGCTGGCCCTGTGCTGGGGTTATGGGGACACCAGGGCAAGTTAGACCCACCTGTGAGTGCAAGTACATTAGTCAGACGGATGGAGACCCATAATCAGACAAACTACCGTAGTGTGTTTTGAGTCTGGACAATAGTTGTTCCATGTTTGAGCAGAACAAAGGATGGGTAATGAACTCTTGCTAGTGGCAGCAGGAAAGGTGACATTGACCTAGGTCTTGCCTCACTGCGGTATCTATACTCAGAGCTGACTCCTCTTGAGCACCTTACAGAACAGCAGCGCACTGGTCTGAGTTGCCAGGAATGTCATTACTGCTTCTCTACACTCCTGCTAAAGCCCTGAAAGACCCACCCAGCTCAACTCCAGCAATCTGAGGTTGCCCTGAGGGTGGACTCATTCCTCTGCAATGTAAGAGCTAAGAATGTTTCTGGTTTAGAAGGCAGATGAATCTTAGATAATGTGTGAATTACTGTAAACTAGCTAGAAATCTCAGTGGCAGTTATGCTTCAGATCTAATGTCTTTACTGGAGCAAATCAGTATAGTCTCTGGCACCTGATATGAAGCTTTGTTTAGAAAATGTCCATTTTTTTCCATCCTACTGTGCAAGGACCTCAAGAGGAGGTTATTTTTAAAAATTTTTGTCTGTTTGTTTTAACCCTTTTTAAACCTAGTCAACAACTTATATCTAGTTAAATTTTTTTTATATTAAGATGACTCTTAGATTTAAAAAAATATTGTTTCTGGTTTAAAAAATAATAAGAAATCACTCCAGAATGGATTTGGGGGAATCTCACTGGTAAGTAAGCATATATCCCCAGTTTTCTCAGATTAGTTCCAGTTTGCATCATTTGTTCCTGCATGGTTTTTTAAAAAATGTCTTACTTTAGACAATTAAATGACATGGTCCCTCTATCCACAGCCCGTACAGGACCTTCTCTCTTTTGAGACTAAAGAAAGGAGACGTGGTGGTAAGATTTAATAGTTAGTATTTTTCTGGTATGCTCACCAAAATCATGAAGGGGTTTAAGTTGTTCAAAGTTCCACTTTGTAACTTCCCTGCCCCACCCAATGCCCACCAATATGTACCAGCGCCTTCCTCGGCCACTATATTTCAGTCTCCACACTGAACCCTTTGGCACAATCATGTTTCTTATTCTGGACGATGCATCTTTGTCTTCCAGAATATCCATGGTGACAATCAAGCAGACACATTAATCCTGGTCCAGGTACACAAGAGAAGGCATTTCCCCCCTGGCTGCCCTGCCTTTTTGGGTGAGCCACATCTTCTTGGGTAGCCCATTGCAGTTCTAACGCCACACACCTACTTCCCTTTGGTCACTAGAGTAACTCAACAGTGGGAATTTGGGCCCTGTGGCAGGCAGCTGAGGGCCTTGGGGCAGAGCTCAGAATCCCAGCCTCTGGCCTCCTACTTACTCTTTCAAGTTGATGGGTTTGCCTTCCTCTGCGTTTTTCCTCATGTTCCTCACCAACACATCTCCGTACTGGTTAATGATGGGGAACATCTAGACACAAAATATAACACCACCCAAAGTTAAATGTGATGATCCAAGTCCTAGAAGGACCTAGTTTTCACACGCACGGAGCAGTGAGTGATATTTTATAATGAATCTCACAATGTCATTTCTAGGACATAAAGATAATACCATTTTTAGGAGGCTCAAATTCACCAGGTTACCCTTGGAAAGAAACGATCTTATTTTCTGCCTGTCCCCAGATGCCTTCTTTAAGTTTCAAATTAAATGTCCTCTTATATTCTTACCTCCTTGAGCTTTCCACTAGTGAAGGTTGGAGACAGCAACGTTCGTATTCTCTTCCAAGTTTCATCCTCAGCTATAGAGATGGCACTTTTCATAAATCCCAGTGGACCTATAGCCTAGAGTTGAAAGCAAAAGTCATTTTCCCCTACATATGCTGTAGAGGTCTCCACAGTTGTAGAAAATTCATTAAGTGGTTATCGGTTAATCAACAAATATTTAGTGACTGTCTACTTCGTATCAGGCCTTAGGCTAGATACTCAATAAATACTTATCTTAAATGTCTAGCATCCTGTGAGGGTGGAGGAGATATCCAGCCACCTGATGTGTTTCCCAGTCTTTATTCCAATCTCTTTTTCAAGGCAAATGACCCATGTGTTTGGGAAACTGCTATTCCAGTGGAATAGATAGGAATAAGACTCAGTACCTCCTCCAGGGCTGTGCAGGATAGAAGGAGATTCTTGACTGATATCCAGACAACCTTGGCAAACTGTATGTTGCCTCAGACCAGTTCTATCTTTACTCGTTATATCTATAGTATGAGCAACTGGAAAAAAACATGTCTTGGTATGGTGATTTTAAAAAATGTAGTTAATACTTAAAAGATTAGGAATCTATTTGCTATTATTTTAAAAAGATACAATCACAGGAGAATTCTTTTCTCATACATTTTCCACTAGGGATAGAAGAAAAAAGAAAGAGGTAATTCCATTTTGCAGGCTGGCTTGATAGGCCGGTCCCAAAAAAATGGGACCGGCCTATCAAGCCAACCTGCTTGAGACTTTCTTCCCACTTTTAATACTGTATTTTGCTTTACAATGAACATCTCTACTACACATTCATGACAAAAACTCACCAGCTATGAAGAGAGTGAAACTTTCTCAACTTGATAAAGAGCATCTACAAAAAAATGTACAGCTAACATCACAGTGAATAATGAAAACCTGGAGTAACAGCAGCAAGATGGCAAAGTTAGAGACTCTAGCATCTGCTGTCCCACAAAGAACAATTAGATGGCTATCCACGAACAAAAATAGGTCTAGGAGAGTTCGGCAGTTCACTCAAGAAGCTTCAGAAAGAGAGCGCATCAAACAACCCTGAGAATAACTGTACAAAACCAACAGGGAGTATAGTGTATTTTACCTGCATGATCTCATCTCCCAGGCCAGCACTGCTCAATGCCAGAAGGGAACTCCCAGCTTGGGAGACTTGCCCTTGCTGAGGAAAAAGCAACGGGGTGCCTGACAACTTTCCTAACTTTTCAGGGCACTGTATAAATGGCCTGTTTTGGTTTCACTATGCCCACTATACACTTTGCTAGGGACAGCAAAGAACAAAGAAAAAGAGCAGGAACTACTAGTAATAGTCGTTTGTCAGAAGCTGTCATGATTTTCCATGTCCTGCTCTCAGAAGACCCCAACAGACTTTGCTGCTGGGAAACCAATAGCCAGCACAGCCACTGTGAACACCCTGCTGATTTTGGTGCTGATAGCTCCACAGGTTTTCACATGTGCAGATTCTAGCAGCCTGAGTCCTGCCCTACTGCCCTCCACACCCCCCAGAGCTGCCCCAAGTTGTGCTACCATCCCGAGCCTCGGGATCCACTGCAGCAGCCAGCCCTGGTGTATGTGACTGGGCACGTGTGTAATACCTGCAGTTGTTCGGAGACCTGAACGTAGCCCTGACTCCTGTCAGGATAAACCACATCTGCCCACAGCTAACCCGTGCAGCTGCACGCCAGCACACTGTCCACCTCAACCCCACTCACTGCAGTGCATGTGCCTGCAGCCTCCCCACGCCACCCATCACTGTGCACTGACAGCCCAAACACTCCAAGCTAATTCTGTGCCCGCAGTTGGCCCCAGTTCCTGCCACTGGTCCGGGCCCTTACCATGAGGCATATGCCTGCCATTAGTGCCCGCTGATAAGCATTTCATACCAGCAACTTTGGCCACTATTACTACCTGACTGAGTCCCTTGTCACTGGCCCCGTTGATGCTGTTGAAGACCCCAGTAGCCCTTGCAGCTGCTGTGGAACCTCAATAGTTCATGATGCCAAGGATCATGCAGATGATGATGCTGTGAATTTCAACTGCCTAAGCCAACCATGCTCTCCTGACCCGGAGTCCCCATGCACGCCCACACTAGTACTGAGGGCCAAAGGACACTCCAGTATGTTCCAAAACACAAGTAAATTCTTTACTTATTTAAATTATTATGTAAAGTTTGGAAGAATTGATGGCTTCTTCAAATACAGACACTCATGAAGGCGACAGGGTTCACGAAGAATCAAGGAAACAAATTCTGGCATTTGGAACAACATGCATGAACCTGGAGAACAACATTCTAAGCAAATTAAGTCAGGCAGAGAAGGAAATAGATTGCATAATCTCACTTGTACATGGGGGGAAAAAGTCAACCAAGAATAACAGGATAGAAAGATGGTTATCAGAACCATCTTTCCTGGGAGTGTGGAAGAAAGATACTGGCCAAAGGCTACAGACTTAGTTATAAGTAAGTTCTGGAGACCTAATGTGCAACAGGGTGACTTAAATGGATAGTACTGTATTGTATACTTGAAATTTGCTGAGACAGTAGATGTTGACTGTTCTTACCACACAATGATGGATATGTCCATTCGTTTGTGATAATCATTTTCCACTGTATGCATATATCAAAATATTACACTGCATACCTTAAATATATCCATTTTATTTGTTGCAAATAAATATATAAATTAAAAATGGCAAAACCCAGAAGGCTTTCTCCTAAGATCAGGAACAAGGCAAAAATGGTCATTCACACCACTCTTTTATAACATCCTACTGGAAGTTCTAGCTAGTGCAGTAAGACAAAAACAGAAGTAAAAGGCATACTAGAATGAAAAGGAAAAAATAAAGTGTCCCTATTTTCAGGTGACATAATTGTCAATTTGGGAAATCTCAAGGAACATTAAAAGAAAACTCTGGAACTAATAAATGAGGCCGGCAAGGTTGTAGAATACATGATCAACAAACAAAAATCTACCACACTTTTATGTAATAACAATGAATATTTGAAAACACGATACCATTTACCATCATTCCAAAGAAAAGAAAATATTTTAAGTGAAAAATTTAACAAAAATTTAATGTATAGGATTTCTCTGCTGAGAACTACAAGATATTGGCAAAAGGAACAAAAGAAAACCTAAATAAATGGAGAGACATTCTGTGCTTATGGATTGAAAGACTTGACCTGGTAACGATTATAGATTTTCTCCAAATTGATCTATATGATTATTTTCAATTCTTATCTAAATCCCAACAATTTTTTGTAACATAGATAAGCTTATTCTAAATTTGTATGGAGAGGTAAAAGACATAGAATAGCTAAATCAATTCTGAAAAAAAGTGGAAGGAATCATTCTACATGCTAAGAATTACCATGTAGCTATGGTAATCAAGACTGCGTGGTACTGCTAGAGGACAGATACACAGATCCATGAACAGAACAGAGAATGAGAGACAGATGCACACAAATAGGCCCAACTGATTGTTGAAACAGTTCAAAAGCTATCCAAGGAGGAAGGATAGCCTCTTCACAAACGGTGCTGCAGCAATTAAACATCCATTGGGGAAAGAAAGAACCTTGACTTACACTTCACACTTTGAACAAATATTAGAACAAAATAGATCATAGATTTAAATGTAAAACATAAACCTATACAACATTTAGAGAAACAGAAGGAAATCTTTTGTCCCTAGGGCTCAGTGAAGAGTTTTCAGAATCAGAACTAAAGGTGCAACCTGAAGATGGAGGCATAGGTAGATATGGCTGGCCTCCTCCACAACCACATCAAAATTACAACAACCTACAGACCAATGATGACTCGAAACCCTCAGAAATTTAGCTGAATGGAAATCCAACAACTGTGGAAGTAAAGAAAATACATCAACCCAGAAAGGTAGGAGACCCAGAGACCCAGAACGGGTGGGTCACACACCCACGTTTGGTGGATAAAACCTCGGGGGGGGGGGGAATATCTTAGAAGCAAAGGGTCCCAGCCCCACAGTAGACCCCTCAACCCAGGGAACAAGTGACAGGAAGATAAGCCCCCATAACGTCTGGCGGTAAAACCCAGCGGGATTGGAGTTGGCAAAAAAAACTACTGGACTCCCCGGCAGTTGCACGTAAAAGGCCCATGCTGGATTTACACAGATGCACTCCCTCTGAGCTCCAGCACCACTGGGGTAGCAGTTTGAAATGCAACAGTGGCATACAGGGAGGAACTGAAGTGTCAGGGTGAGAGCTGGGGGACAGCTCTGTCCCAGAGAGAAAGGAGGGCAGAAGCCATTGTGCCTTTTCTGAGCCATACCCCCACAGTGCCACAGCTTCAGCAGGTGAGAGCCATATATGAGGCTCCATCAACTTGGCTTACACTGTTTGCCCAGCCCTGGCAATTACTTGAGCTCCACCCCATCCAACTTGTGGGCCTGCCCCCAGCCCTGTACCTCTGGTAAGTGGCCTACGTCCTGCACTGGCAGCAGCCAGCTTTGCCTCAGAGTTGGGCTCTGCCCGGGAACCTCCAAACCCAACACAAGTAGCATCCGGCTGCAGATCACTTCGTAGCTCACGCAGAGTGTCCTCCAGTGTGGAACTCAGGGCCAGGTGGGGGCTGACCCTGTCTGGCACCACCTGGGAAACCCCAGAGCCTGCACACCCAGCAGGCAGCTACAGACAATGTTGAGCACCATCACCGTGCCCCTGCAAGGCTGATCCTCCACAGAAGGTGGACGTTGGTAGTCAGTGGTCACAGCCAGCCCTTGCATCTGACTAGCCTGGGTAAATCCCTCCCATTGATCTGCCAACAGCAATGAAGGCTCAACGACAAAAGGAGTGTGTACTCAGCCCCCATGAGTGGCGCACCTCAAGTACCCAGCTTGGGTTACAGTGGGGGCAGTGCCACTGGACCCTACAGGCCATGCTACCAAGAAGGAGTTGTACCAGCTCTACCTAATATGCAGGAAAAACATCACAGGGAGGCTGCCAAATGAGGGGACAAAGAAACATGGCCCAAATGAAAGAACAGCTCAAAACTCCAGAAAAAGAACTAAACAAAATGGAGATGAGCAATGCAACAGATGCAGAATTCAAAACACTGGTTATAAAGGTGCAAAAGAAACTCAGTGAGTATTTCAACAGTTAAAAAGGAGCCAGGCAGAAGTGAAGGATATAAAATGGAAACCAACAATTTACAGGGAATCAACAGTAGAGTGCATGAAACCAAGACTCAAAACAATGATATGAAACACAAGGAAACAAAAAAACAACCAAACAGAAGAACGAGAAGAAAAGAGAATCCAAAACAATGAGGAGTGCAAGGAGCCTCTGGGACCACTTCAAGCAAACCAATATTTGCATCATAAGGGTGCCAGAAGGAGAAGATAAAGAAGAGCAAGCAGTTGGAAGTCTATTTGAAAAACTAATGAAAGAAACTTCCTTAATTTGGTGAAGGAACTAGACATGCAAGTCCAGGAAGCACAGAGCGTCCCTAACAAGATGGATGGAAACAGGTCCACACCAAGACACATCATAATTAAAATGCCAAAGGTTAAAGCTAGGGAGAGAATCTTAAAAGCAGCAAGAGAAAAGCCATAGTTACCTACAGGGGAGCTCCCATAAGGCTGTCAGCTTATTTCTCAAAAGAAACTTTGCAGGCTAGAAGCAATTGGCAAGAAATAGTCAAAGTCGTGAAAAGCAGGGACCTACAACCAAGATTGCTTTAAGTACAACACTTGTTAAAAACGTACAGCCTGTTTAAAATGGAAAATTGGCTTCATCAATAGTAAAAAGATATTTGCTCGGCTAAAGATCCTGATTCAAGGGAAAGACAAAGTACACACTGAAGCTATAAAAGAATAAAAAGAGGGAGACTTCTGGTGATAAAACAGTTCTGAATATCGATTGTGGTGATAGTTACACAAATATACATATATGATAAATTTTTATAAGCAACACATAAACAAATGAGTGCACATAAAACTGATGAAACCTGAATAAGCTCGCTGTATAGCACCAATGTCAATTTCCTGCTTTGATAGTGTACTATAGTTATACAAGTAAAAGGTACTATCTGGGGAAACAAAATGAGAGGTATGGGCTATTCCTGGATTTTTTTGGTAACTTCCTATTAATCTATTGTTATTTGAATGTTAAAAATTTAAAAAGATATATAAACATTTAATTTAAACAAAAATGGATACCTACCCGCCGATTTGTGAAGACAGAATAGCATTCTTTCACCAGCACTGTTTTGATCATGTCTGGATCGGTGATAGCCAACACAGGCTGTCGACCGTCATAGAACCTGTGTTGGGAAGACAGAGCTGATTAAATCTAACGAGTCAGTTTCTGCAGCTGGAGCCACTCCTGGAGGTCCAGACTTTCATTCTGATGTTACATAACACATACTTCTTGTGATCATTGTCAGAAATAACATGAGAACACTTAAGCCTACGTGGCTTACTTGGGGATTTCCTATACTATTCTTGATCATTTTTTGTATGCTTCAAATATTTCATTATCGAAAAGGAAGTTAAGTTAGTAAATAGATGAAGATGAGTAAACAATCTGAGAACATGAAAATAGTGAGAGCCTACCCATTCAGTCACTTAAAAATACACTCTTGGTAATGGGAAAAATACAATAAAGATAAAAAGGAAAAAAATACACTCTTGAAGATACATCAAAAACAAAAAATGCATATGACAGAATATTAGATGAAAAGTGTAGATATAATGATCACAAATATGTAAACCTGGGTCTGCAAATAAAAAAGACTTAGAATGCTCAAAAAGATATAGCAGAAATAGGAATGATTTCTTTGCCTTATTTTCTAAAATTTAATTACTAGTTTACAACTGATTAAAGGGAATATTGTAACTGCTAAATAGAGGCCCTTGGTAGGATCCAGTTTATAAATATTTAAAATAAATGACAAAGAGAATAAAAAATACAGAAGAGGATATATAATTCATTTAAAAACATTTTCTGTTCACCACTTGTATTTATTCTCTATGTGGGCCCTACGTGGGCCTCAGGCTCCAAGCAGGCGACATCTGTCAGCAGCAGGGCATGTCCTCTCCTGCTGCTCTCACACCCCCCCAGCAGGCACGGCCACTGGTACTGGCCAAGGCCACTTTACAAAATCCTCACGTCCCTGAGCCCACCAGGGAACGGCGTGGTTTAGAAATAGCCTACCTAACTTAGAAGTCAGTAGAGCAGCATAGATAAAGCAATACTTACATAAACTAAACCTCTATTGAGAAGTTTGGCCTTGGAATTTTTTTAAAAACCCAAACTCCATACTTGTAGAGAAAGCAAAAAAAGAAACTGAGCAGATATGGTTTCCCATTCTGTTTACCTATACCTACAGTGCTTTTACCAAAAGACACAACAAATCCAAGTTTAAAATGAAGCATTTTGGCTTTCAATTAATAGTCAGTCATGTGGGAAAGGAGTTATCATAGTCATATATTAGAGGGGTCTGAAATGATGCATAGAACCCAGTTAAAGGAGACCTAAGGGAGGGAAGCTAGAGAAGAAGGGCATAATGAGACACTGGACAGAAAGTGGTGCCAGGAACCCCTGGGCCGTCAAAGTCTAGAGAGTAATGGCAACATGCAACTCTCCAACTTGATTCAGAATGCAGACCTGGACACCTGGGGACATCTGGGATCCCTGGTGGGACAGGCCTCCAAAAGCTTTACAATAGGTGGCTTTATCCCGAGAGGTCCTGGGCTGAGATTGTCCTCCACTCCAGGGGGCCCTCATCAGAACAGCAAGAAACTCCAGAAACATCAGAAACTCCAACGGGAGTTTCCCGAATACTCACCCCCACATTTTTCCATACTTTTTATAACATTCCTTGTCAAAAGGCACAAAACCCTGCAAGGAGAAACAAAATAAGACCATCAACCTGAATTCCTGACAGCTACCTCTAACTGGGACCAAAATGACTCAAATCCCATGAACTCAGATTTACTGTATTTCACTGGCTGGTACAGGGAAGCTCTCATTCAGCAGTGTCTTGGGGAACAGAGAAAATAGAGGAGATATTCGAAATGGAGAATTTAAGATCACTCTTGAAATTTCTCCAAGTAGCGCTGACACTTGACTTACCCTTGCCTACGATACTAAGTGATTCCTTGTCTTTTGGAAGCGTTTTGTTTTTTGTTCTGTGTGTGTGTGTGTGTGTGCTGTCTCTAAAATCCCATTACCCCCGGGAATTATTACCTCCAGAGACTCCACAACGGAAGCCAAGGGAGAATTAAGAGTGGCCTGCACACTCTTTGATCTCCTGCTTAAGCATCTTTTCATTTCTCTCATGAGCCCTCTCTGAATTCCAGCAGAATGGGGAACTTTAAGACACCAGTACCTCTTGTCGTCTAGGAGATTTGAAAGAGCAAGAGGCATGTGTGTTCAGCCAGAAAATTAAGTGAATGAATGACAAAGTACTCGCTTTCCAGTGTCCCAGCTCAACACGGAAAAGATGGGGAGATGCCTGCACTCCATAGGACACAGCAAATCAAAACACTTTCTCTGAGTTCTCACTTCTTTTGTTAACACTTAAACTTTTTAAAAAATAATTACATAGTCCTGCAATTCCCATTAGAAATAAACTTACTCAAAATCATTTCTAAGTAATTAGGAAGTTCTTTTCTTCTTGGACAACACATTTAAGGCCAGTTCTAATGGACTGTTATACACATGGTTGTTTTCAAACTTTCTTGAGTAGGATTTGCAAGAGTAAGTAACAAAATTCCAAACCAAATTCTGGAATTAAAAAAACACATCTTCCTGTAGGTAAATTTCAGCTGTGATATTTGATGTTTTAACTATGCAAAAGAAGTTCCAGAAATGTGGGTCTTGGGAAGCATCTATAAAGAGTTGATCTGGGAAATATGGAAAGGGAGCTATTACCTCCTCAGAGGCAAAAATGTATGGGATTTCTTGAACTAGATGAGGCATGGAAGACCTCAAGTCGGAAAATTAGAATCTGAGAAACAAGCCCTCCCTTGCAGGAAAGAAAATCGAGGGCAGAGAGCGGCCTGCACACAGGCTCTGCCTGCTGGCCTAATGAATGAGAGCTCATAGCTTTCCGTCCAAGGATTGGGCCCTGGACGACGCATCAGGACGGAATCAACCACAAAGACTCCACCAAAATTCACAGTCTACAAGGTAGTACATTCCATTCAGGTCATTTAATTTTTAAATGGTTTTGTCAAACCATCTTCTTTCTAGTGATTCTGTGTAACTCTGCTTTAAAAAAAAAACAAAGCATACAACTCATTTAGAGGTTGAATACGTGTAGCTGAGAGACAAACACCATCTTACTTCAGTTATACCTGCTCCCTCTCAGACTCAGCCATGAGGTGCCTCTTTATGAATGCAGAAAAGTAAGGCAGAAACCTCTTGTTCCATCTCTCAAGTCCCACAAAGATAGCATGGGGACCAAAGGACGAGTTAGAGCCATGGAAATAACAGCAGGGATTTAACCATTCTTGAGAGAATTCAAGGGCGTATGTGCAGATTACGCGATGGTGAATACTTGGGCTGCCTCCTACACTGAAGTTTCGCAGCTGTCTGGGAGGAAGAAAAAGAAAGGCTACCCAGAGTGTATCCTATGAACAGCAAAGACTGAACTTTAGCATATGCAGCTTCATGAGGCGCCCTTTCATGCTTTTCTCCTCATACTAAGTATGATTGTGTCTTCCCGGGAACCTGCACCCGGCAGAAGAAAATGCTCCTCTGGATGCTCGCAAGTAGGAACTAGAAGTCGTTCCCTGGATCAGCCAGAGAGCTCTGCAGCCTGACGGAGGCAACACCTGAGGCTCCGGACTGCTGACATAGACCCCTGGGGTGACTCTGGCACTGTGCTGGGTGGGGCCTATGATGCCCTTTCTGGAAAGTGTGAAACCTCAGGACTTCCTGCCCCCCAACCCCAGGATGGCCCTTTTACTATGGAAATCAGCTATGGTTTGTAATCGTGAGAAGCAAAACAGGTAGCTCAAACACAACTCACCTGGCGATAGCTCAGAACAGTTCCCACAAAAGGCAGGGGTGTCGGCCCAGGAATTCCCAGCTTCTTAAAACGTCCATGTGTATAGGTCCCATATCTTTAATGTACAGGAGAAAACCGTGTTATAGGGTTAATGGAACAGATGCTGAGGCTGGCCAGTCACTGATTCGGAACTGGACCAGTCAACCTCGGGAATGAGCTCGTAGGCAATCAATAATAACAGCAACTCCATCCGCAACCATTGCGTTCACTCAGGGTCTCCTTTCCCACTTCCACTGTGAGACCCACAAAAAGTAATGATGATTAGAGAAAAGCAGCTGAAGTGCATGGACCCAATCCCCGAGTGAACACTTGATAAGTGTTTCCAAATGTGAGTGCCCCTGAGAGGTTCAGTCTGGAATTCTTCCAGGAGACTCGCTCATGTCTATTCAGTAAGTTAACTTTTTCATAACGTTGGATCTTCTAATTCTTGGTAGAAAAAGAAAAACAGAAATCTGCTCCAATGATGAGATTTTGCTAAACTGCACTCACTCAATGGCAGAGAGTTGCTGTGAGCCTGCTGGGACAGTGTCCTTACAGTTTGCTCATTGACTTTTCAGCTTTACTTGCCTCTATGCCCTGACTCTGTTTTAAGATCTGGCTCTTCTTACATACTCGTGTGTCATCACAGAAAGGCCTTGTAATAGCTACAGTGACCTTGCCTCCAGAATGCAAAGTGTGTTCGAAGCTTCCACTGGCCTTGTGGAAACGCGAGTGCCTTTTGGCCTCACCCAAGTCTCTCTTGTGAGGCAATGTGATTGACTTGAGCTCTAGAGAAGGGTGATTGACCCATGTGTTTCCCGAATTAAACTGTATAAAGGAACCAATGAGTAAAGAATCCGTTTCCAGACCTTTCTTCCCCCACGGTATCCGGTCCTTCAGCCTGTGATGCTCACCTACTAACCACAGTGCCAGGCTCACTCATTTTTTCAAGATGGCCAGTCAGAAAGCAGTTCGTTAACTGCCTCTGTGCGTCAACTATCTCAAAATCCCATAAGGCTGGTGCCTCCCCTGGTAGGCCTGCCTGAGGCTCATCTTTCCTGTGTCCTGTGTGGAGTTTCCAACCGGGGCTTCTGAATCCTTGCAAGCCTTCCCATGTCAATGTTGCTGGAAGACGGAAGGGTGGAGGACAAAGAGAGGCTGAGGAAAGAGGCTGCTGGCCACCATTTTAAGGATGAAGTTGGTGGGCCTAAAGGCTCACCCCACAGAGGCAAATGAGAAAAGTAGGTCTGAAAAATAGGCCTGTATAACGGTTCAGCTTGCCCCACAAGCACTTGCAGCTAAAAGGGGCCTTCCAAACTCCTGCACCTTCCTGTTTATTGCAAAAAAAGATGCGCTCTACAACATAAAATGTTTCAGAAAATTGAATTAAGAGTTTGTCTCCTTTACTTTGAAGGTTTGCCTTTAAGAAAGGATAGGTTTCTAACATTCTGTACCATATTAATAATCTTACAATATGTGATGAAAAGAAGTAAAAAAAAATTCCTGAAAGGACTCATGCGCAATGACAACAGAGGCACCTGAGACAGGCCCAGGTGGGTACTTGGATCCTTCCTGCAGGAAGTTGGTGAAGTTAGGTGCACTGAGTATGAAGACCTGGGGTACCCGTGGTTAGTCCCACCCCAGTTCCTTCCTTTGCCATGACAACCATGGCAGGTCAATTAAACTCATTTCTGCTCCTGAACTTCAACATGTTCCATGAACTCTCAAGTGAGGCCAAGCACTTGAGTGAATGTGTTAGCAATGTTGATCCCCTCAGGTGATCTGCTCTGGTGTCTAAACTCACAGGGTTCCATAGCAAGGCAGGGGATGGGCTGGGTGAATTCCGTGGTTTCTTTCCAGCTTCCCTTCTTTTGGTAGAGTAGCGCTGCTTTTGGTAAAGCCAGTCATACTATTGCAGTTACATGTGTTGCCATAAGAGGGCACTGTCTCTCGGCAGCAACTGACTCACAGCTGTACCAGTGTCTCCTAAGGCTCCAATGTTGTTTATCCAGTGACGACAGCATCTAGTGAGAGGCCCACTGCCACACAGACCACACAGCGTGACTTCGATGGTGTCCCTATCCCCAGATTTCAAGCGGAAGAGATGCCTACCCTGCTGCCCTGTGAGACCAGGGTATCTGGGAGAAATATCCTCCCAGTCCTTCCAGAAGACCTCTTTAATCATCACTGCCTCACAATCTTGCTTACTCACCTGCACTGTGGGATTAAAATAACCAGTTAGGCAGGGGTATTTAAAAATATGTACACAATCTACGTTACACCTATATGTATTTGTACACTGGACTCATACTCCGGACATTATTCTAGTTGGGTAAGGTTACTTACACACCTTTGTAGTTACAAATCCTGGACCCAAACACCCTCTTTTATTCTACAGAGAGAACATGCTAGAAATAGTCTTATCTCAGTAAAAGAAAAAAAATCTAGTATTAAACACAATAAAATTAAACACTATTAATTATTCTAAAATGTCATTGGACAGAAAATATGTTGCCATGATAGTCAGTATTCGTAACATTTCTTCAAAGAATTGAAAGAATGCTTACATTTTCTGTATTCATGTCATCATGATTCCTACTCTTAATGAAAGTGAAGTTGAGATAGAGGTCACATGGGACATGGAGGGAGCCTTCCCTACACACAAGTCCAAAATACCTCCGATCCCAACCTGCTCCATGATGCCGGGGATCCCATTCTTGAAAGGAATTTCTCTGCTAGATGGTTTGGTTTGTCCTCCTGTACTATAATTTACTGGAAAAATATTTAAATATATATTTTCTTGTCTGTTTGTGCCTTTACAGGCTGTTAGAGATTATGTCTGCCGGCGTGGGGGTGGTGAATAAATCTCTATAATGATGTCAACCCTCTGCAAACTAGAAAATAAAGATGAAATAAAAGAATACAATGTCAAGACTTCTGCTAAGTTTCTTTTGCTCTAAAGTTTTCTCATAAAGAGGGAAATTCTTCAATAGTTCTGTCTATTATAAGGTGACAGAGCTGAGTTGTAGGAGGAGAGTTTCAGGGGAGAGATACTGAATAGAGGGAAGAGCTAGTGCAAAGAAAAGGGGGCTTTCTCCAGCCCCCCATGGTCTCTGGTGTGCACCCTTACACATGGTATAAATTATGCCAGACAGTGGGAGGGAGGGGAGTAGTGACAAACCTAGTCACAAGGGTTGATCCTTGCATGCATCTTTTGCAACAAACACTGAACTTGGAAGGTGAAGATTATAAGGCAAAAACGCCAGGCCACTTTATTTTGCCTCCAGGGTCCCCAGAACTGAAAAGTGGGTGAGGATTTCACAGCACAGAAGCCCACTGTTTTTAATCTGCCTCTGCTGAATTCTGATTAGTTTGTGTAGGTAGGTCTACCCATACTGGCAGTTATTCAGAAGATCACCCCTAGGAGCAAATTACACTACAGCATGTGGGCTACAGAAATTGGGAGTTGTGGGCTGATGGGGTATTACTCCTTCAAAAGATCAGGGTAAGATCAATAATGACCCCTTTGGTGTTTGTAGCCCCTAACACTTAAGCAACTTCCCCCTTACTGACTGTTGGGTCTATAAAACTGATAAGGGAAAGGGGGGCCTGATGAGCTCCCCAAGTCCAAGGTTACAGAGAACATGAACCTGAACAGTTACTCACAGATAGAAGAGCACCAGGCTGGTAGCCAGGAGAACCCAGGTTTCTGTGGAGAAGCTTGGAATCAGGTCCATGGCCACTTTCCTCTAGAAATTCTGTCCTCTGAATTTTCCTTGCAGCAGCATGTGCTCTTCTTACCAGGCCTGCGTGTGAGGAATTTCCCTTCTCACACAGTGAATGTTCAGAGAGACTGGATGTTTATGTACTGGAAGAGGGGGTGGGGCCAGTAGAAAGGCTATCTGCGCTCACTGCAGGTGACCTCTCACCTTGACAGTTGGCAAAGCATCATGGAAACTCCTGCTTTGACCACCCTTGAGTTCGTCTTTGGGAAGAAATCAGTAAACAACTGACTCTGTTTGATATCAGTAAGCCCAAAGGTTACAGAAACCTAGGTTAACCTCTGGTCTGAAATCACTAACTTGCCCTTGACTCCATGGCTGCCTGAAGTAAGAAATACTTAAAATCTTTCAAACAATCTAAGTCCCCAGATCTTTACTCACGCAGTTTCCTCTGCCAGGAAATGACTGTGCTGTAGAAGACTCTTATTCGTTCAAAACTCAACTCAGGCAGAATCCCCTCTTTTGGAGTCTTTCCTAAAGAATCTCCTTGGGCAGATATCACTTCATCTTCCTCTGGGCAAATTTTTAAAATTTTCTATTAAATTTATTGGGGTGACAGTGATTAATAGGATCATATAAGTGTCAAGTATACATTTCTATGATACCAGATCTGTATATTGCACTGTGTGCCCACCACCTAAAGTCAAATCATCTTCCATCACCTTTGGGCAACATTTATTCTCTGCAAGCAATTTTTTTATTATCCTTATAACCAACCCACCAACTTTATAATGTTTCTTATAAAGTTCTTATAAGAAACTTTAACATTGTTTCTGTAAATGCTGACTTGTAAATTTACATGTAGCTATGGATAAACAGCCTGCTCGCTTAAAGGGTTCTAGGAAGAAAGGAAGTAGATTCCAGCCTTCGGGCATTTTGGCTCCAGGAATTTGCTCATCTTTTACCATAGAACCAGGATGACGAAAACTAGACCACCACTTGACTGGCTCCAAGATAGTTATTGAGCACACGGTAGTGACTCACATATAGCACCCTCAACAGCAGGCCCACAGCCCCTGACCTCCCTTTGGTTTCCTTTGTTCTGCTTTCCCCTTCTCCACTCATAAAAACCCTTGCCTGCACTGAGATGTTAAGATGGTTTTTGTGACATTAGCCCATTGTCTTCACAGGCTGCGGGCTCTTGAATAAACCAACTTCCCTTGGCTCTCAATTATTGGCTTTCAGGTGGCAGGCATCTGAACCTGGATTCAGTATCATCTTCCCTACCATCCAGCACCACTGTTGGTCTCTACACAAAGTTCCTGTACCAGATAGGAGCTTCTCAAGGGCACAGTCCAGGTATTAGTCACTATTATGTCCCTAGTACCTAGCAGAACACTTTATGCATACTAGGCATTGAGAAAGATTGGCGGAGTTGAGTTGCTACAAGTGATATTGCTGAGTCCCCTGTATGTCTCTTCCCTGTGGCTCTTTGGTGACCACTCCATATTTCTGGATTGTTAATTCAACAAGAGGGCCTGACTGTGTCTTGGTCAACATTGCTTCATGTTCAAGCTAATCAGTTAGGATTTTGTTGACAAGGTGCCCCCAAAGGTAAGGCATGACATGGGCAAGTTGGTGATAGCTACACCAAGCTTATCACTTCATCCTGCTTCCTATCCCACCCCTTAGAAGGTTCTGCCATAGGCAAGCAGTTAGGCAGATTCATGACCAACGAATAGCTCCCCCTCTCTGGAAAGACTGCAAGTCCAAGAACAATGGATGTGAAGAGAACAGCAGCCCAGAGGGCCAAGTGAACCCTGAGCACCTTAGCCACCACTAACATGGCAAATGTCACTCTCAGCAACACGCACAGCACATAGGACTCCAGAAACATGACATGAGCTTTTTTTTTTTTTTTTTTCCTGGAGCAAAAGGGGTTAGAGAAGATGGCTTCCTTGTTTTTTGGTCAGTGGGGGATTTTCTAATGGACTGTGAGGAGCTGGTAGGAGGAGGGCTGTAACAGCAGTCAGTGCCACCTGTGGCCTTTCTGCCACATTCCCGATGGGAGAGGTCCAAGTACTGAGGGTCTGGAAATTCCACCAGTTTATTATCATTGCTCAGGCCCATGTTCTGTGTCTGCTTCATATGAGAAGAAGCAGTGGATTATATAAAAAATGAAACTTTGACTGTTCTTAAAACTCAAAGAAACAGAAGACATTTAAGCTGTGTTTGTGCATTTCCTTCTCTCTTTATCTTTTACATGTTGAGCCCTTCTGCAGAAAGTGATACTCACCTGTTGCCAATTCTTTAGGTCCTTCTGGCCAGAAATTCTTCAGTGTTGCATAAAACTGGACTGAATAGGTAGACGTCTCCTTGGTAAACTGTATAAAGTCCCAAATGTCTCACCCAATTCCTTTTATTTACTTGGAAGCTTGTCATGCAGCCTGAAATTTCTACCATCAAAGTTTGTCATCCTTAAATTAAGATTTTCTCCAGGAGGCATCTGTTAAATTCTATAGCTGCAATTGGAAAGTGTAGTGCATGAATACATTTATTCATCTGTGCACTGATTCAAGGCCAAATGAGTAACTGTTATGTGTAGTTATCTCACCAGGCTGTGGACTAGAAGCCATGTAGTCCCATTTCTCAGGAACAGCCTCATAGTGGCAGGAGGGAGGCACATAGTTGTGCCCGGAATGTAACGAATCCCTGGAAGATCTGGGATAACGGAGCTCTACAGAGAGGAAAGAAGAAGGGGCTCCAAGCTTGCATATCATCAAATGACAGGCATGAGAAGTTAGAAGTTGATTTACAGGAAAAGTCACATAGAAAGTCCCAGGAATTCCAATTAATCTGCCCTCTTTTGCTGCCCACCCCTTAGCAATGTTAAACAGGGTCATGCTCGTATCTCCAGTTTATAGATGTAAAAACTGAGGCTCAGCAACTGCAAGTGGCTGCATAAAAACTATTGACCACCACAACATTTTAACTTATTAGAAATAATAAGCTAATAAATAAGTTAATAAAAAGAAGAAATAAATGTAGAAATAAAATGAATGGAAACTGAAAAGTCTTATGCTGCTCCTAAATGCCAATACTCAACTTTTGCTGTTCCCTAATAAGGGTCACTATGAGAAATAGTGAGACCCAAGGCTGCAGTGACAATTGGTTAAAATTCTGGGTCTCCATGATGATCCCCACAGTAGCATCCCCCTGGGTCTTCCAAAAGAAAGGGCTCCAACTCATTTCAGCACAAACAAAAACAGGTGCAATCATGACTACTAAGGGTAATATTGGTTAGGACCTCCCCTCTGTGCCCCAAACCAGAAAGGTTCACAGAATACATCCAAACAAGGAAAGAGTATGGTTCATTTGATAACTATTGACAATTTAATTCACTCACCTAAACACAAAGCCTTTATTATTCTTTTCTGAAACAAAGCTTCTGTGGAAACTAATATATTTTATTCTTCCTCTAAAATCATACTTAGCTGCCTTTATATCATAACTAAGCTGAATAGGACCACTCCCTGGTCCTATTCACCATAGGGACTAGTCCAGCAGAGTGGAATATATGCCGACAGCCATAGGCTAGTCATCTCCTAGGACTAACATGTAGCCTGAACCTTGTCCTAAGCAATGCAAAGGGCCTTGCTCCTCAGGGGAATTAATAGAAGGCATGATCATTGTGGCCCTTCAGCTCACAGAAGGAAACATCTAAAAAGAAAAGACTTACATACTAAAAGTTGGGCTGAAGTGTGAAAAAATACACTGTGTGTTGGAAGAACAGCCCACACAACCCATGTCTCTCATCCACTCATTCGTGTATGTATGTGCTCATCATCTACTTTCAGAACTCTGCTCTAAATGCTCAGGGTACAAATATGACTAAGATCCAGACATTATTCAGGTTGATATAGAGGTAAATTAACAGATAATTATAGCACAATCAAGTTAAAGTAATTATACAGGTATGAAAAACATAATGTCCTCTTCAGCAGAGAATGGTTTATCTGCTTTCTTGGTCTCCTTAGCAAATAGTCAAAGTTGAATCTCAAATAACATTCAAGGAAAGATTAGGCTCAGATATCAGTATAAGAAAACAGGTTGTCAGGGTTTCAGTGATACAAGGAGTACCATTAGTCTGATACTCCTGTCCTTTTATAACATTAGCTCAAGTGGCACCTCTTCTGGGAAGCCCATCCTGACATCCACTCACCAAGAGATTTGCTCACAGTATGAGGAGACAGTGTTCTTCTGAAGTGATTTGTGCATTGGCTTCAAATTTCATAGGTCACTATCTTGAGTATGCAAAAAATGAAAGCAAGATTATGTGTCTGTAACTCAGCTCTCAAGCTTCCATACTCCTCAACAGGGTAAAATTTGATATTGCCAATTCACAGTAAGCAGTTGGTATTTAAATTTTGGTGGCTCTGCTTATGGTTGGTGGAGAAGTTGATTGGGTTCAGTCCATGTTGATTGGGTTCTATGCCTGCTGGGTTCAGTCCATGTGCCAAAATTGAATATAAGAGTTGGGATACTTGCCCTCATGAAGGGAAGATGGGTATACACTAAACAATTAACCACATAAATAAATATTGAATTAAAATCTGGACACATGCTATGAAGTCATAGTATTTGGCATGGTGGACCTTTCTTTCCTTAAACTATCTTCTCCTTTGAAAGATATGACGACAACAGAATCAACGGGACTTGATGCATTGAAAGTGTATGACCTTGAGCATGTCTGTACTTGTTTCCTCATCTGTTTGTAAGGGAAATTAACCAGAACAGACCTAAAAAGACCTTATCCCAAGCACAAGGCCACCTCACTGTCTGCTTCTCTCAGGTTCTATGTCGCTCTAGGATTTTCTAAACCTGCCTTCATCCTCTCTTACTCTTCTCCCTGTCATTTAGGGTCCATAAGTCCCCTAGCCAAGTGAGGAACTAAGAGTACCAACTTGGAGAGCAAAGATGAAATAGCATAGACCTGGAAGAAGGCAAATGTCCTTTTAAGTCCTGAGCTGCTAATTCTAGACAGTGTCACTACTGGGACTCCAGAAAAAGGGACACCCCGCACACATACACATACTCACACACATGCATACATACATGCACACACACAT